GACATGACGCTCAATCTGCTGACACCAATATTGCCCCTAGTGGCTAAAAGTTACAAAATGTTGCATGAAAAAGATTTTCTGAGCTAAACTTCTAATATTTAACACTAGAAATCCTACAGATATGAGAATTTTCATCAGTCTCCAGTCCCCCCAACAGTACTTCACAGCTCATGAATTCCTTCTCATATGTAAAATGCCCCATTAGCGCTGTGGCTCGAGAACCAGTCCACCACCTTCGGTTTTAGCTCAAGCCTCTCCATTAAAGAGGGATTTACCTGAGAGCACAGGGGGAAATAAATCACATTTATAATTAAATATAACTAGGTCATCAGTGTCGCTAAAACCGGAACGATTTCAGCGATCAGACGATAACTGATCTGTACAATGAAAATAGCTGCATGAGCTGGAACGCTGTAGAAAGCAACAATATTTATACCATGATCCCCCCTATTTACTAGGGGGGCAACTATGACTCAAGTCAGCTGCAGCGGAGCAGCGAAGAGAGCATCGTGAGACTGCAGTAAAGTTGGCAATATATTCACAGATTCAGCTTTTCCCAATTAATACCTAAAATAATTAAAATAATTAATTCTACAAAACATATACCTCTCCGCTACCACAGCAAGGCAGACGGTGAGCTACAACCGTAGTTTCCTCAAAACGAGTCTTCTATCACGCTGGGAGAATTTCATTGGACCCTATGGGGAGCTCACTGCTCCACAAATGCTCCGTCTGCAATTTGCAAAATAACCAGAGATAAATATTCAAAAGCGTCACCAAGGAGAGGTGGAAATTCATTTTATGTGTATCTCATCTCATGTCTTTCATATCACATTGATTGGATTCAAAAATAATACTTTTTTTGAGGAATTTACCAAAGCCTAAATAAATGGCACCTCTATTTTATTATTAGAATAAGTATAAAATGAGCAATAACTACACTATAGATCACTGTAGTGCCTCCAAACTTGTAGGATACATTGATAACCTCATCTAGTTCAAACTACTACTCTTACTTTGGGAAAAGGTGCAAAGCTCTATTTTTTTAAAATATTTTTTCATTGTTATTATAAGCAGGCCAGGTGTTCATTCTCTGCAACAGGAACCACAGCACTGAGCGCTGTGTGCACTGCACAAAGTATACCTGTCGCAAATGCAGGAAGGACTCACCTTGGGTTTGTAGAAACTGCTAAATTGTAGCTTCATATGTAGAGCTTTTCCTTGGTGAAATAAATGTTACTGCTATACTGAAATCAGACTGTTTTTCATTCTCTAAGCTGAAATGTTGAATGACATGAAAAGGCGAGAACAGACAAAATACAATTATTCTCCAAGTTTCTTTCACATGGTGAGCTTTGCAATATAAATGAGTCTGTTGAT